TCTCGGAAGTATTTAATTTTGTTCCTCTTTTCATCCCTCCAGCGACGAAGATTTTCTCTCGAGTGGCCACCCCAAAAGGGCCACCTCTTTCTTCCTGCATATCAGCGATTTCTTCCCATTTCTTTTCCACAGTGTCGAATCTATTACATTTTGCGAAAAATGTCTCTGTGCTTTTCCACCCTCCAATCATATACAGGTGTCTACCAGCTGCAACAACACAAGTATAAACTCTACAATCTTGAGCAAACGAGAGATCAACTGTCTCCCATCTACACAGCTCTACATTGTACTTTATGACCGCAGTGCTCTGGTCAGTGGCGTTTACTTGAACAGCGTAAATTTCTCCTTTAATGACAGCCACGTCACACGAGTCTACGTGCGATTTCAAGGCTGACCAATCGTTAAAAATTGGATCATATCTTTCTGAGCCTTGAGATTTGGTAAAGGTAAACAACTGATCACGGAATTTTATCATCTTGGATGTACTGGCCTTCAACTCCGCTGTACCATCTGGTAAACGCTTCCACTGGTCTTCTTCTGGAATATAACAAAAAGTGTACTTGCCACCACGTGCTACAATAACACGTGTTTCCAGCCCTTTTCTTGGTGACTGCGGAAGGTGATCTTCATCAGCAAAGGTAGCTATCTTCATGGCAGCATCCATGACCAGCTTCACACAAGCAAGATTCTCACGCACCAGTTCGTTTGTCACGACATCCTCCAAATAGTCACGCGACAGAAAACGGAGTCGAACATGACGAAACAGTTCTTCAAATGCTGTTTTTCGCTCACTCTTTCTGTGGTTTACCCAGTCTAATATGATTTCAAAAACATCAGCTTCCTCTTTGACTGTAATGTCGTCCGACGAAATCCACCTCTCGATCTCTTTAGCTTCCAAGTGCAAAAACTCATCCAGTTTTGCCACGGAAACGATGTTTTCGAGAATGAAACGCCTGCTGTTGGTGATAAGCTCATCGCAATCATATTTCTCAGCGAGGTAAAAGGTTGAAATACAGTTTATGTGTGACATTTCTCGTTCCAAAAACCGCCCTGAAGCTGTTTTCAAGCCTGGTATGATCAGATAATTCCCTGCGGCGATCAGTTCCTTACTATTCTCTTGAGTCACCTCAACAGTTCCAGTGTAAATGAATTGCAAAACATCTTCTATAACGGATCCTGAAATTTCTTCAAAGCGAACAATCCCCTCTTGATTCTCTTTCATGTCACTCTGAAGAAGCTTGGAAAAGAACGGACTTGCGGCCGAAAGAACATTTCTGTGAGCCTTTAACTCTCTGTTGTCTTTCGACACCAAAGTAATGTCGCATAAATAATCTTGTTTTCGCTCAATGTTGAGGCGTTTCATCAGTTCCACACAGAATGATGCTTGTTCAGCAGCTGAGATAGGCTGGATGTCTTCCATCACTTACTTTCCTTGAGAAAAATCCGCTTAAATGTAGCTGATAATCAAAACACATGGAAAAAATCCCGAAAGCGGAAGTATAGCTGGTCCCCAGTTTTCCATCTTAATTTCCAGGTCCCTTGGCCGTGGAACTCTGGGGACGAGATAATAGCTATGGTAAGAAATGATGGTCCCATAGCTACGGGAAAATTTTTGAGAAAAAGAGGGAAAAAAGATTGAAAGAGTTCAAAAAAATATCCAGACGGCATATTTGCCAAAAAACATTACGTAAAAAGATAAAAGGTAAATGTCGACCAAAAATATTTTGCCTGCTCAAAAGAGTGTAAGAATTACAGATCGAAACTCTGCCCCATTGCAAGACACTTCATTCTGGTTCGCTGTATTCAAAAGTTTCTTACATCTTCGCTTACCACTGACAATTCTTTCTTTTGAAAAG